GTTTTGTCAAAAAACATTTCTTCATAACACTGTGTTCCTCAATTTCTTGTACACATCGCGGAGGGGGAAATTCTCGCCGCCAGGTTCCTTCGCCAAATGTCTTGGCGAATTTTCTCTCCGCTTTCCAGTGAAGTAATAGTAAACTGGTTTACATTACGTTCTACGGAACCTTTCCTTCTTTACATAGATTTCTTTGGCTAAGGTGGTTTGTGCGCGCGATTGTCGTGTTTCAGTGTTTTTTTTTTTTCCCCTCTAATGTGAGTGACATTACTCGAGTCTCCATTGAGCATCAGTCATGCCAAAACAAAAGTCGAAATTATCGGCATCATCAGGTACAATTACGAACTATTTTTCAAGATCCGAGCTAGGTGAAAAGGAAGTTCGGTTGGCTGCTACAGAAGATACCTTTGCGTACCACACGATTTATCACAATCGCAGCTTTAGGTCGATGGACTGTACTTCCAAATTAATGCAAAAGTGTTTTAATCCAAAATTTGAAGACATTGTCACGAATGTGCTTTATCCATATGTAATGAACCAAGCCAAGGCAGAATTAAATGTCGTGAATTTTGTGACAGTGTCTACAGACACGTCGAACCATAAGGATGTTAAGCTATTTCCTGTGATAGTGAGATATTTTGTGCCACTGTCAGGTGTGAAAGTTAACATCCGGGAAATGCAATCTCTTTCAGGAGAAACAGCATAGACGATTTGCAATTTTCTTGTAAATGCATTACAGCGGCATGGTCTGACAAGAAAGGTAGTTAGTTGGCTTCTGCCCGGATAATGCTAACACGAATTTCGGAGCATTAAAAAGAAGCGGTAGAAACAACATTTTTGCAGTATTACAAGATGCCCTCGGGAGGAAATTACTAGGTATTGGTTGTGCTGCTCATATGGTCCACAACGCAATGCAAACAGCAGGAGATTGCTTGCAAATTGATGTGGAAGCAGTTATTATGAAAATTTATTATTTCTATATCTACACTGTTCGTGTTGAGTCATTCAGAGATTTTTGCGACTTTGCCTGTGTGGAATAGCAGCGCATTTTAGGATATGAGAAAACTAGATGGTTATCACTGATGCCTGCAGTAGAGACAGTTTTAAAATCGTTTCCTGCACTGAAATCCTATTTCTTGTCAGAAGGAAAGTGACCCACCCTAATCCGCAACTTTTTTGAGAATCTCTGTGCTGAATTGTGGCTCTATTTCGTTCATAATATCACTGCCGTGTTTCAAGCAGGAATTCTGTACATAGAAGCACAGACTGTAACAGCACTGGAAGTGTCTTTCGAACTGGATGATTTAATACATAAATGCATTGAGAGAAGCGCAAAAATCATTTTGCTAAATGAAGTACCGTAATTTCGCACGTATAGTCCGCAGACACGATTTTATATAAAAAAAATTTCAAAAATCGTCAGATAGTCCGCACCACCGGATAGTCCGCGGACTATACGTCCGAAATTACGTTTTTTTAATACGGCAATATTCCCATGCTTTTTAAACACATCCTTTTGTTTGCGCCAATTACTCACTGCTTTCTCGTCCACTTCAAAATAACGGGGTAAAATCCTAGTACACGATGCAGCCTTGGCGCGACTTTAAAAATTATCGCCAACACCAAAAATTATCCAAAGAACGTCTATATATATAGTATACACACATAGTATATGTATATACACACATAATATATATACTATATACTATGTTTAACTATATATTTTCTTGAATGACCGTTAACTACTCATCGTATATGTCCCGTTTTCACTGCTCATCATAAAGTCGCCAAAAGTTGCCAAATCCCGTGTGCACCGAATACTAGGATTAAACCAATAACGGCCCGCTTCTCTATTTCCATCTTTGTCAACTACCTTGAGTTTAACTCAGCAGTAAAACTCCGGCGATGTTTCATCAACGTTATCGAAGATGAAAGACAAAATACGAAAACAAAATACTGTGCAACGTGCTATATTCGTGATAAGTGGTAATGAAATGTGACCTTCAACCCCACTCACTCAGTGTTGCCAAACCACGCTATAAGTAAACGAATCACGCTTTTTTTTTCCATATTATAACTTAACCTTTTACGAATTTTTTTTTCGTACTCCAGGTACTTGCTACTAATGGCTCCTAAAACGCAAAAACCGAGTTGACGCATCAACTACTTTTCCCCCTCCTGGCGGCAGTTGCGCTAAAGCAGTGCGAAGGATACTGGGATACAACACTCTGGTTGCGCTAAGTGAGTGCTCATACAAGACTTTCTTTGGCTCATATCTCGGCATCGCTTGATGCGCCAGCCTGGATTTTAGGAGCTCTACTTGCTACTACTCATTCGTTCTGCACTATGCTCTATGGTTTACTATCGATACGATACATACGAATGTTTTCTTGGAATCTCGCGCTTTTTTTATATTTGATCATCGGCAGTTCACGACAGCGTGTTTTTTAAATTTCAACGATTTTAACCGTGAACAACCAGCGTATTATCCGCACTGGTGGATAGTCCGCAGCTTCAAAAATTCGCATTTTAAACACAGATAGTCCGCGGACTATACGCGCGAAATTACGGTACGTATGCTGAGTACCCAATCAGAAGAGCAAGGATTGGCGAGAAAAAAATCACATTATAAGAACCATTGTAAATGGTAAATATACCAGTGAAATTTAAATCCAGGCAGTGTATATTTTGTAGCCACCAGGAAGAAACCTCATAGAACAAGATGTATGTGCGAAATGTGCAGTGTGGGTCTATCAGGGTTCGTAGCGGTCCTTACAAGTGCTTATAAGTCCTTATATTTGAAAATAAAATATAAAGGCCCTTATAGGTGCTTACTTTTGTTTAAAGCCCTTATTTTTTTGTTTTTAGTGCTTTTTTTTTAATCCTTTGTTTTTAATGAACGCGCATTTTTTCCCCGTACCAAAGCCGAAACTAAATAAACAACTTTTCTTCCTTATATGCAATGTCAGATGGTGAATACTCCCGAAAATTGCTTCCCCCCTTCCTCTGCATTAACGTAACCTATGGTGCGCGCGAGAGTACAGACAGGTGCACGTCGTTCTATTGGCCAAAGAATTGCGAAAACGTAGAAAATTCCGGTACATTCGGTATTCTTTTCCTCCCACCCAAATACTACACACGTTTGAATTTCTATCAAGATTTTAATAAATTTGCATTCTCGTTCCGCGTGGTCAGTTCATATTAGTGTTTATTATGATCGTTATGCTTATATTATGAGCATATGTATGAATATTTATTATAATATAATTGCAGTAACTGCTGAAGTATAGATAAACTTCCAAAAATGGGTGTGTTTTTACACAGATTAGCTTTCTAAGGAATAATATTTCGGAATGGCTTACATAAAAGGAAAAGTAATCGAATAGTCAAAATAATTTCATTTTCTTTGCCAATACATTATACAGTTACGGAGGTTGGGAGTTCCTCCCCTTTCTCCGCAAAATCTCTAATATTGAAGCAGCGGACTTTTTTTTGGTACTTTTCCGTTTTGCCGGCGCAAGCGATTAAAGTCGCCTAATAAGTTTTGCGGTACCCAACCCAAGCGGAGATGATTCCAAACGGAAATATTCTCGCTGGTAACCTTTTTAAGCCTCATTTTCAAAACAAGTCGCAGCTTTTTCTTATCAGATTGATTGTTTCTTTCAATACTGGCATATCATTACATAGAATTTTTATCAGATAGTTCAGTTTTATGTCTAAGGCCATTTTCGGTAATTAAGTCAATTAGGATGCAATCACAGCGCTTACCCGAAGCCGAAAATATAGAAAAGGTAAAGTCAAGGTTTAAATTCATCAATTCTAACGAGAATGAATTAGCGAAGTAAAGCACTGCAGTTTTAAATAATTTCTGAGTAAGCTATTCGTACGAATTGAAATATTTCTTGCATTTAAACTTGTGTTCTAAATTAAGATTTAACTTGAAATTAATGTAGATAATTACTGAGAGCATTAGATTTTTGTAGAGTAGTTTACGTGAGATGAGATCGCTTGGGGTCACGTGATATAAACCGGCGAATCAGGATGTTGAACCATGAAAGCGTAGTAAATTCTTAAATTAATGTCTTTTTACAAATTTATTGTCTTTATTTATTGGCTTTTTATAAAATTTGGTACTTTTCCGTTTTGCCGGCGCAAACGATAAAGTCGCCAATAATGGTACAACAAATTGCCAAACCGAGCATCTTCGCTGATAAAGTTTTACGCCTCATTTTCAAAACAAGTCGCAGCCATTTCTTACCAGATTGATTTTTTTTTCAATACTGGCATATAATTACATAGAAATTTTACAAAAAACAATTAAATTTTATGCCCTAAAACCATTCGCGATAATTAAGTCAATTAGCATGCAATCACACCGCTCACCTCAAGGCGAAAATATAGAAAAGGCAAAATCAAGGGTTATATTCATCAATTCGAATGAGAATGCACTAGCGAAGTAAAGCACTGCAATTTGACATAATTTCTGATAAGCTATTCGTACAAATTGAAATAATTCTTGCATTTAAACTTGTATTCCAAATTAAGATGTAACTTAAAATTAATGTAGATAATTACTGAGAGAATTAGATTTTGTAGCGTAGTTTACGTGAGATGACATTACTTGGGGTCACGTGATATGAAGCGGAAAATCAGGATGTTGAATCATGAAAGCATAGTAAAGTAAATTCTTAAATTAATGTCTTTTTGCAAATTTATTGTCTTTATTTATTGGTTATTTTACAAAACTTTAAACGATATTAAAATTTTTATGCCTTCAAAATAAAAAATTCTTAGAACTAACATTTGTTAATTTTATGTGCATACTGTATGATGTCGCCAACAAAGTCTGCTTGGCGATATTTGCGCCGGCGAAACGGAAAAGTACCTAAAATTTTAAGCGATATTAAAATGTTTACGCCTTCAAAAAAAGAATTCTTAGAACTAACATTTTTTTAATATTTTTTATGTGTGTACTGTATGTTGTCGCCAATAAAGTCTGCTTGGCGAGATTTGCGCCGGCGAAACGGAAAAGTAGCTTTTTTTTTTTGTCACTGTCCAATCTGGATTGAATAGGACTTCTGGAATTCTAATCTGGAAGGTTTTGCGGTCTACCCAACTCAAGCGAAGTTTGATTCTATTTCGGAAATTTAATACAGTCTGTTGAAAATAAGAATCAGAAACACCCAGATTAGTAAGTCTCTTTCTTTTCCTTTGTTTAGTTCTTTCTCCGAATACCGGCAGTGTTGATTTGATTGATTCGATTGCGTAATATCACATATGGAAGAATTACGCTGCACGTATTGCGCAATAACGTTTGCGGTATTTTGCATTAATAATTAATTTTTATGTTCAGTCTGAGATTTGTTTATGAACACTTAAAAGAGTTTTACTACGTGCTTTCTAAGCAGAATATTTCTCAGTTCCGTTGGTTTTTATATGATGCTTATATCGAAATGTGAAAATAATTTATTTAGCCTAAATTTAAATCTAAAGAACGGCTACAATCTCTCCCACTCCTCTTTTTCCAGTTACTAACCGGAAAATTCGGGAATTTCCGAGTATGCTGGTTAGTTAAGCTTTTACTGTTAAAGGATGACTGAATGAAGCAATTTCCCGTCTTCTGATTTCAGAAATGTGCCTCTTTTTTTACTTAAATTACTTTGCTTGGGATATATGTTAAGGGAAAACTGTTATGCAATGAAAATTTAGAAAATGTTCAGAATTTTGATTTAAGTTAAATTATTTAAATATTAATATGAGTGGAAAAATAAATTGTATTTATTATTAGGTGTCAAACGAATACAATTAATATGGCTTATTATTTATTTTCTATATTTTCAACTGAAATATCATCATTAAATTTTGTAATATAGTTTATTTCTGCATAGTTTTTTTCCTCTCATTGTAAACTAATTCTGTAAATTGAACTGTCATTTTAAATTAAAAAAAAAAGTTAATTGTTTTTCATTGTTGAGGTAATGCTCATTCTCTTAATAAATATTGCATTGCTCATATTTTAAATTACAAGTCTAATTTTCTTTTAAGGTTATGCAGTTATGTATAATGTAATTAGACAGGTGCTTATTTTTTTCTTAAAATGTGCTTGAAAAGTGCTTATAGGTGCTTATTTTTTTAACTAAAATGTGGCTATGAACCCTGTCTATGCATGTGCCAAAGACAAAACATGCTTTGAACAGTGTCACAAAAAAAAATTTGTTCTTTGAAATTAAAAAAAAAAAAAAAAAAAAAAAAAAAAAAAAAAACACTGAGTTCTTTTTTATCCTTATTGTATTGAGTTTTTTAATCCATATATCCAAATGTCCTTATTATGTAGGTACCTATATTTTCGCTGCTATAGAAAAATTACATAAATGTTTATTTTTTAATTTTTTCTGACGATTTACTTTGTAAAATAATGTAAAAAAATTATATATAATGCAATTCTTACATACTTTTTTTTAATTTTTTTTTATCTGTAAATTTCGTCATTTATTGGAATGCGCTTGGAAAATGGTAAGTTTTCCCCTTACTATATCAGTAAGTTTCAAAGTCCTAGACGTGCGGTGGTTTCACAGTGCGACCACCACCCACAGAACAATGGGCAAGAGTAGATTTTTTTAATTCATATATTATTTGCCTCTAGGATCATAATATTCAATTTATAGAGTTTTTGGTTAAAAAAATTATAAAAATAATATCGCGTGCGTCAAAGGGTTAAATCAGTGGCTGATCAAGAAGGCCCATCATCCGTGTTGAATTAATGCATTTGCAGCGTCATATGCTGGATGGACACATTCAAGCAGTAAGGTAGGTAGGAGGTTATAAACTTTATTTTCCGACTACTTTTTTTTATTCTTTGTTCGCTCTTACGCTTATTGAGATATGGATAAATTATTTTTTTTCTTTCAATAATAGAGTCTGTTTAACATACACGCTAATTCTCAAATGATGGGTAATTCTTTACAGGACAATGTGACTTCACTAGAAATTTTGCATTCCATATTTTCACCTTCATATGGGGGCTTCCGCCCTCTCCCCCTACCCCGGCACCAAAAAATTTGGATCCCTGCGTCCCGCTTTGCCCTCCGGCAAATCTGGTCACCTTACTTTATCAGTTTTTAGAGGCTAGGCATTTTGAAGACATGAGATGAAAGAAAAGACTGGTTTCATCAAGAGATAAAACGTATTTAGCTGATACCGGTATACGTCACTGGATAAATTCCTGAATCTTCAAATAATTCAACTGAGAAATCATGGGATGATTTGTTTATGATACGATATGTTCTATGACGTAATTTAAATTTATACAACCATATAGTCGAAAACCAGTCGCTGTTCACTTTAATCTGCAATGATATCGTTTTTGTCTTCTCTGTTAGCACAAACTCATTTGTTGCTGCTTGCTGACGTACACGTTCAAGTGTTTTCTCTTTGAACATCCAACTTCCTTGAAGTAGATTTCCCCTTTAATTTTTTCCCCCTAATTTCCTTCTTTCTTTATTTGAATTTACTTGTGTCACCACTGAAAGAAAATTTGCTTTCAGTGCTGACACAAGTAAATTAAGATTATTTGATTTCCACACTTCCATAAATTTTGCATTCTTGTCAACTTTTTTTTTAAATATCAGTTGCATCAAATGCATTTCAGCTGAAGACAGGTTTTCATTTTCTAGACATTTTAACTATAAATAAAGTTTAAAACAAAGCTTAAATGATAAATATTTGAATTAAAAGATTTTTGTTAAATGAAAAAGAAATAAACCATTCCAGAAACGTACCACCGAGTGACCTAATTCTTATATCGGGTGCAAACAATCTAAATCGTATCATTTAGAATTTTTAAGCTTAATAATTTCTATGTTAAAGAACATGTTTTTTATATAATCTACAACATGAGGAAAAATGACTACTTAAAAACATTCTTTCTAGGAGAATTAATGTAAAATTTATATTTGTATATATATATTTTTTTTAAGCTGAGACAAGACCGAAACTGTCAGCATCCTGTTTGCTTAAAAATATTGTGAAAATAAACATCAAGAAACTTTCTCAGTTTTAGACAATTCAATTTAAATGAGGTTAAAGTAAAGTAGCAGATGATAACACAGCGAATATAAAAATTTACTTTTTAATGTTAAAAATTTGAATAAAATCATCTATAATTTTTACAAAATAGCTTTCATATAGTATTAATAAATATTTGTTATGCATCATTGAGGGAAAAAATTTCATATAGTTGATCATTGAGGGTAAAAATTTCATATAGGGCTCCTTAAAAATTTATTTTAAACTTAAGGTTAAAAATAGCTGTGTCAATTCACTGTAACAAAATCCATAAACCACATTTGGCGTTAATATCATTAAAGAAAGGTGCTAAATTTCAAAGTGTGCCAATGTAAATTCGTGTATATCTTGTAACAAATTCACTATGCTTGATGCTTACCAGAAGTAAAGACATTTTTTTTTTTTTTTTTTTTTTTTTTTTTTTTTTTAACTCAACATTTTTTCCAACAATCTGCTAGCTGAATTATGCTTATACTAGAACTTTTATGGAACAAAATTGCTTAATCATGACGAAGATTAGGTGCGAAATTGAGAGAAAGTGCAGAATCGCAAACTGCTTGCTGCTTTTTTAAGAATTGCACATACACAGTATCCATGTGCACATCGACCTATTTTCACTTAAAAATACATCCCAGAATTGCACAGAAATGGCATTGTGCACACTCTTGACTTTATCTATGTACACATCGATCTATTTTCACTTAAAAAGTCTAAGAAAATTGACAAAAATCCAGTTATTCTTACTCTTGTAAAAAGCGGCAAACAAATAAGTGGGCGATTCTGCACTTTAGCAGCGAAATTGTTTCTACATGCTTATTAGCTAAAATCACGATCAGAATTTCTTCTCAAAATTGAAGTATAAAAACAAAATATTTAGTACAATTGATTTCAGAAATGCTTATCATCAGGTTCCTATCAAAGAATCAGAGAAGCATTATACTGCGTTTGAAGCTCATGGTAAACTCTATCAATTCCTACGTGTTCCATTTGGTGTAACAAATGGAGTTGCTTCTGTCCGAAGTACAATCGATGAAATATATTCAATTGAAGAATTATCAGGAACCTTTCCCTACCTTGATGATGTAACTTATATGTGGCAAGAATGAAGCTGAGCATAATAATAACGTAGAGAGGTTTATGGCTGCTGCTAAGAAGTGTAACCTAACCCTGAATGAGGAGAAATGCACATTTTCCACGAAATCTGTAAAACTGTTTGGCTACTATATAGCTAATAATATAATAAAACCTGATCCTGATAGACTGAAACTGCTAATGGATTTATTGATTCCTAAAGATATAGGATCTCTACAGCGAGCACTGGGAATGTTTGCTCATTATTGCCGTTGGATTCCCAATTTTTCTGAAAAGATTCACCCTCTTTTGACTAGAGGACCTTTTCCCTTTAGTAAAGATGCCGAGTAAAGCCGTCAGTTCCCTTAAGAGAGATATATCCAAAGCTTCTTTAGCTGCAATTGAGGATAATATACCATTCAGAGTTGAAACTTATGCTTCTGAATTTGCAATAGGAGCAACCCTGAGTCAAGCTGGTCGTCCTATAGCTTTTTTCTCAAGAACAAGCAATAATCTTCCGAACGAAAACATTCTTTTATTGAAAAAGAAGCATATGCTGTTGTTGAGTCTTTACGAAACTGGAGACACTATCTAATTGGAAGACACTTCGAAGTTTTAACCGATCAAAGATCTGTGGCATTTATGTTTGATCAACAGCACTCCAGTAAAATTTAAAATGAGAAAATTATGCGTTGGCGGTTAGAACTTGCTTGTTTCAAATTTGATGTTATATATCACCCTGGAAATAAAAATGAAATTGTAGACACTTTATCAAGAATAAATGCAGCTATAAAACCGCAAATAGATCTAAAAGCACTACATGATGAACTTTGTCATCCCTGGAATTACTCGAATGTATCACTGGGTAAGATCTAAAAATTTGCTTTTCTCACTAGAAGAACTGTTAATTCATGTGTATGCTGCAGTGAAGTAAAACCTGGTTTCTATAGATCTGAAGGACACTTATTAAAGCAACTTCACCTTTTGAAAGACTAAATCTAGATTTCAAAGGTCCTTTGCCTACGGCTTCCAGAAACCGTTTCCTTCTTACTATTGTGGACGAGTTTTCAAGATTCTCTTTTGCAATACCTTGCCCTGATATGTCATTTGCTACTGTTATTGCTCCCCTAAAAAATATTTTCTCAATTTTTGGGATGCCAGCCTACATACATTCTGATAGAGGATCTTCATTTATGTCTCGTGAATTAAAATGCTTCTTAACTTCACTTGGTATAGCAACAAGTCACACAACTGCATATAATCCTCAAGAAAACAGCCAAGTAGAGAGGTATAATGGAATCATATGGAAAACCATCCAGCTGATTTTAATATCAAAGAACGTGGCTATCGAACGTTGGGAAGGCCTTCTGCAACCTGTTTTGCTTTTGATTCAGTCACTCTTATGTACAGCAGCAAATGCCACACCACATGAATGTATGTTCATCCATGCTAGAAGATCATATAATGGACGTTGTTTACCTACATGGTTAACACAATCCGGAACAGTATTAATGAAGAACCATACACGAGCTAATAAATATGAACCTATTGTGCAGGAAGTGAAGCTCATTGAGGCTAACCAAGACTATGCTTGCGTTAAACTTCCAGATGGTCGCGAAACCAACGTTTCAATATGATATTTAGCACCCAGAGGAGATACTCTCATACATGGCCATGATATCGGGTTGGATGAAAACCAACAACTTTCAGATTCTTTTGCTCAACAGAACAAAGGTATAGCCACTGAAGCTCCTGAACCCGTATCAAAAACTGTAAGAAAATCGACAGAAGAGGATCCCCAAGGCAGTGACTTACCGTGCCCTAGCAGACAAGAGGATTTTGAAAATACTTCAAATGACAACTTGCATGAGAGTGAATCCTTGCATCCGAAAAGGCAGAGACGTCAGCCTTCTTATCTGGCAGACTATGCAACTTATTAATAATCTTTGGGAGGGGTGAATGTGGTATAATATTTAATATTGTTGGCAGCACTAAAATTACTACATTGAATGGCAACAGTCATTATTAGTTTAAATATTGTTCTTACAATGTAACAATTGTTTTATGTGCAATTTTAGTTTATTGAAGCTTCATTTGAGCTTCTTTAGGAAAGTGATTTATTATATTTATAACACTAATTCAAGTGTCTCTTTGTTAAATAGTTTTTTAATATTGTTATCCAACTCACTGAGAAAATCGCATCTAGCTGTCAGTTGTTCAAGAAATTCATCTAAAGATTAGGTAACCACAGAGAATCATTTAAAGAATTTTTAATTTTTTCAAACAGATTAATTATTAGAGAGTGTATTGTAGTTCTTTTCTTTTTAGGAGAAATTATTTAGTCATTTTTATCAGCAAGGTCAGAGAATTTAAATAAAAGATGACTCCAGTTCTGATGAAAACAGAAACAAGTATGCAAGTTCTTATCCAATGGTCCTAATCCTAGCAGTAACATCAAATGTCAATTTATCTGTAGTGAACTTATATAAATCCAAACACACAAAAAGTAAGCTTTGAATCAAAAGTATAATTTCCGGCTGTTGCACCAAATAATAAGGGAATGACATATTTGAAGTTCTAGGATAATTGTATTTAAAATTGGTCATGTCTTAAATTCTACATGCAGAGGTTCAGTTATAATTCTCATAAAGTCAATATCAATCTAGTTTTAATACAAATTTATGTGAATATACAAACAAAATAATCTAATTTAATGAATATAACATCTCTTCAGTAGCATTCAAGCTGCATCCAAAACATTCAATCTTTTGCCACTAATCATTTTCTAAATTGTGGTACACAAAAGTCTTCTCAAATGGGAACAACATGCATATTAAGCATTCAGTGTATAAGGTTTCTTGTTAATGACCAGAAGAGAGATTCAATAACTGAAATAATTAACCGTAGTATTCATCATGTGACAAGACACCATTATTCCTTTATCATGGAGAACATATACCTTGTGTCCAACAGATTAAAAATAATAAATTTGAAAGGTAATTGGTATGTGTGATCTCATACAAGTGAAGTTATAGCAATTTTAATTTTCTAGGATGTGAATTTTTCGTATACATTTTGCGTGATGAAAACTAATAACATTTAATTCCAGGTATCAAAAAGAAAGAAAAGAAAAAGAATCCAAACAATCACATGAGATAAAACACTGAAATGTTTAACATGGAAAATCCAATTTAGTTTTTAGGATAATTTTAACTAAAGTAAAAAGTAGCAAAATAAAGAGAAAGAGTGAGATTAAAAGACTGAACGCCTTTTTCTTTCTTTTAATGTCTCCTTTTGTAATGCATCTATATTTCTTTATGTAAAATTTTTATGATCTGCTAATTGGTCAGTATACATTAAAGTTTTGATAAGGAGGGTAAAATTTCCAAAAATTAGATTTGTTGTTAGATCATCAGGATTGAGGCAGAAATTTTATTAAGTAACCTTGAAATCCTACATACAGAGAATTTTGGAAATTTTTTAACTGAAAGGAGAGAAAAATATGATGACTGGGGGATTATTGGGATGGTTTTTAAGGGAAGATTGCTATTAATTGTAAGAGAAAAACTTTCTAAAAGCTTTATCACTAGCAAAGGAAGAGAATGTGTCAGCTGCTCTCAAAATTTTGAATTTCCACCTAATTTGAAAAATGAAATTGGCAGACATCTATTGTTATATAACCTGTTATTTAGATAGGAACTTAAAACTTATGGTATTGTTTCAGTGTAATTTTAAATACATTGAATTCATTGACAGTTTTCTGTAATTTCTATTATTTATTTTCTTAGGTACAAGTCGCCCAAGCCACTATACTGTTATAGAGGATGACAATAATTTTACTGCTGATGATTTGCAGAAGCTAACATATTATTTGTGCCACACGTATGTTCGATGTACTAAAAGTATATCTACACCAGCTCCTGTTCAGTATGCACATTTAGCAGCATATCGTGCACGACAGCATCTTGTATCACAAATAGAGGAGTCTACAACTAGCAGTGATACTTCAACTCCTGGTGCTTTTCATGCTTTACCAGAATCAGTTATCAATGCTATAAAGGTTGTAGATGGACTTAAAGATGCTATGTACTTTGTCTAATTTTCCCTCTTTCTTTTTTTAGTATTAGTGACCATAAGATATTATCTGTATAACATTTTATGTCCATTTTAAATAATTCCAAATGTTAAGTTTGATGAAGGAGAAAATGTGTATGAAAGTTAAATATACATATGTTTTCTCGTTTTTATTGAAAAACATTGTTATTTCACTTACTGGAGTTTTAGTTATGATCTATGTGATATCTTGAAAGGAATAATGGCATTATTTTCATTACTATAGCTTTCAAAATATCTGTTTGTGAAGAAAAGCTGTAAAGGAAAAGGAAATTTATATTAGTATCTGATTAATGAAACATATATGATAAGATTTCAGTAAATGAGTGAAATTTTTTTATTTTGTATCACAGAATCTCTTTCTCATTATATATATATATATATATGTCTGTCAGTCTTGCATTACTTTCTAATTACCCTGACAGACTTCATTTCTATATTTTTTATTTATTTTACTTTAACTAATCACAGTCGTCTAAAATGCATTATCTTTTTAAGCCATTTTATTGCCAAGAAAAAAACATTTTTTTTTAATAAGCATGAAGTTGATTTCATGTTTCATTCTAGATTAAAATAAATATATTTTATCGTGTAAAAATGCAAAAAGCTTTGACGCACTACAAAAATGCAACATTATCACAGTCCCTTTTGCAAAGTAATGTAAGGACAGTAAAATATTTCTTAAGCAATGAAACTTTTTACTAGCTGTGAGTAATTATTAACTGATTGCTGCAGTTGGAAATTTTCCTTTCATTTTCAGAACTTTCTCAATTATACAATCTATATTATGAATTTTAATTGCATTTGTAGGTTAGGAGACTGCCTTTTGTCTTCATTCTGTAAAGTGAATTTCCTTTCTGTGAGATTACCGATATATGATTTCAGAAAAGATACAGAAACTGCTGCTTGAAATTCTGCAAGTGTGATTTTAAGATAAAACTGCATGTGTCTCTTCTTCACATGTAAAGTCTGTAAATAATGGTTGTCAGCACTTTGATTACTTCAATATTTATTCTAGTGGCAACACATTTACCAAAGAGATAGCTATCCATGTTCGTATCACACGGGGGTACCCAATAAGTAGGTTACGAATGACTACAAAAATAAAAATGCTTAATGCAGCAATCAGTTTCATTTTACTATGTGATGCATACTTATAACTGATTCTCTTATACCAACCATGCATGAGGGGCTTAATATCTGTTGCATCAGAGTCTGAATTGTTCTTGCAACTATAGATGGACCTCTTGTTTAGTATCTACATCATCCATAAAATATGTATCTTCAAGGCAACCTTTGAAGAGACCGAAGCTGTAACATTGCATTGCAGTATAATGCACGAGTCACATTTGCTTTTTGTCTTTTGAAAATCTCCTGCAGTGTTCTGCAAGAAAATTCAAGCTGAGTTTTGCATTTAGAGTGGTAAACTTACACTTGTATGACCAATGGTGAAATTCTAATGTCTTTCCCTCATGTACCTGTACTTACCAATCATAGTTGTCTTGTTGTCCGAGTCTGTACAAAGGGTAATACTGTTTCTGCCTGCTGAAAGCTTTAAAGATACCCTGTTACTATTTCTTATTCCACAGCAGTATGTAACCTATTTGTTGCTTTTCCTTCTTAATTTATGATGAGTTATAGTTCTGGAATTTGAGGGAGTTTTTGTAATTCTGCAACATTTTCAGTACTGAAATGGAAAATTGAAATTTGTTGTTTTAATAGATATTTTTCATATTGTTCAGCCACATATTCAGACAGATTTTTATTAAACATCTGTAGAAATATCAGCATTGGCAGAGTTAGATTTAGACAAGGCCCTAAGCTATTTGAGATATAGGGCCCTTTATAAATTTGTATTTTAATTTTGGGGGGACCCTAAGCTATAGCTTGTGTAACTTATATGTAAATCCTGCACTGAGCATTAATGAAATATGTAATGTGAATTTGAGCCAGTTCCGTAAAGAAAGTTCTCCACTAAGGCATCGCTTCTATTACATAGATAATTCTTGACTTTCACCTTAATCAACTAACATGACCTTCAATTAATGAAAGATTTTGTTTGTTCAGTAAATGAAAGGTTCCCGCCCCCCTTTGTTTTTATTTGAACATCGCAAAACATAAGCAAGCTACCTGCCTAAGGAAGGAATCACTTTGTGGAAGCTTTTCTAAGAGAAATTAGCTGATATTTATGTAATACATGAGCAGGAAATTATGAAAATGCACTTGCAGCGGCCCATTAACTGGAAATTGAACCTGGAATAAACCACCACTGTTCAGCACTCTTATTCTGTCTGGATGGTAAACTCATGGTATTTAAAATGTAGTAAAATTTCTTACTTTTCATAAAGTTCTCTACACATTTTGCTTTTTTAAGCAAGGAATTTTCTCCTTTTTTATTGTTTTGGATGCACTTTTTTTTATAAAGCTTATGAGCAATCATTTTAGACAAAACTGCAACATTGCACTATGTATCATTGTTGAGAATTCATTTAAAATAAAATATGATAACCAATTTTCTTCATTTATATCAACATTTATATTAATGCAAAAATAATTATACAAATATGGTTGATTTCGTTTTCATCATCCTTGAGATAATTAAGAAAAATAATCACCATTCAATTTATTAGGTTATGCAAGAATTTGTTTAAATGTCAAATATAGTTTTATAACGTTTGGATGATTATTTAAAGATACTAATCATTTAGTTGTATAAACAAAATTTTCTTTTTGTTTTATGATATTTGATAATAATTTTGCAATTTTTCATAAATTAATAAGTAAATACTAACAACAAAATCTAAGCAGTTAATTTGAACATCACATTTTGTTGCAAACAATGAAAATATTATATTTCATTTTTTACACAGGTGATATTTTGTGTAAGAATGCCATACAATCAATAACATTTAAACTATAATAACACTGCAGTTTAAAAAAATGAAATTGATGAAATCTAGTCTTATTACTGAATATAAACAGATATTTTCCAGTATTTATTGTCAGTTAAATGTTGTGCAAATGTAAGATCAAGGGAAAATTAATTTATGCTTTATATGTAAATATTAGAGTTTTTTCTGTCAATATATATATATGTGATAAAAAGACTTTAAAGTGACATCTGTGGCCACAATTCACTTGGCACTCAAGTCGTGCCTATTTCCAGAACATTTATATTTTTGATAATGCTGCGACGGGATGAGAGCTTAGCGAAATTGCATCCAAGCAGCACAGAAGTTGAAGTGAAGTGCGCGTTTATCTAGTATGGAAAATCGCCAAGAGGAGAGTTTTGGTTTAGGTCAGAAAGGTTTTAGTTCTCAAAATTTTTAGTTTAGGTTCTTAATTACCCACATAATCAGCATTGCTCAGGCCATGCAAGATGGAATCTAGAAGTGATGCAATCCAGATGAGTTATTACAATTTATAGAATAGAGAGGAAGAATTAAGAGGTCACTTAGTTTAAATTATAATTTTGATTTACATTTTTCTATATTACGTATGTATATATAAGATAAAAATATGTAAATTAGTTTTATAATTTCATTTTTAATTTGATTATTTCCTCTTTATTCTAAAAAAAATTAATAACAATTCTGGATTGTGTCATTTCTAGCCATCTTGCAAGGCCTGGGCAACACTGATGATGTGGGTAATTCGGGACCTAAACTCAAAATTTTGAGAACAAAAACCTTTCTAACCTAAACCAAAACCTTCGTCTTAGCGATCTTCCATATTGGATGAATGCGTGACTTTTAGCTTCAACTTCTGTGCTACTTGGACATAAATTCGCTGTGCTGTCATGCTGCTTGGATGCTGTTTGCATGTGCTCTTTTTCTATTGTAACAGTATCAAAAATGTAAATGTCTAAATAAATATGCCAAGTTGTTTGTGGCCATAACATGTTCACTGAAAATAAAATGAAGATTTAATCTGCCTCGGGTGTCAGTTTCATGTTCATTGTTGATCCTCATTTCAGCATTCTGTGCCGTCAAAATTCTTGCCCTTCATTATGAAGTCAGCCTTTCTACACTCTACACCATCAATATTGAAAAGTACTTTATTTTTATTATAGTTGTGACTGTGCATACAAATATTATTTTTATTTGTGCTGTTCAATACTTTTCTGAATACAGTCAAAAGTCGTTAATTCGGACACCCATAATCCGGAATGATCTATAATCTGGACCTCAAAGCTAGAAACTTTCTGCGCATGCGCCGCGTTGGCACATGCGCACAGGCGTTTTACGCGTGCGCGTAAGACCTTGACTACTGCGCATATGCGTGTGCGCAAGTGCAGAATATGTTTCCGCCTGCGCGTTTAATGTATAACGGACGGTGTAAGCTAAAATTATCTAATTATCTATTTCAGTTAATGTTAATGATTGCGTTGTTCCTTAATCTTCGAAATGGATCGCGCTTATTATTTTTTGCAGACTGTAAGAGCAATTTTATAAAAGCAAACTTGAACTTTCGATTATGTCAAATAGAATTTCCGATGCTGGAACTTTCAAAGGATCTACAAAACGAAAGTATGTTTCGATGTCCAACAAACAAAAAGTGGAATTGCTGAAAAAAATTTGATAAAGACATGAAGAATGTGACAGAGAGGTTAGTGAAAACGAAAAAATTTCGATTGACAAGTTAGTCGGTATTCTCGGCACAGCAATTAACGGGACTTGAACAGCGGAACTTTGTAACTGAACAAGAAATTATGTCTGTTTATAGAATTAAAGAGAAAGTATTATCACATAAAACGAAGCAACTTAAACAACTTACATTGAAAGAAATGTTTAATAAAGTAAATAAATATTAAGCTTTTTTTTTTTTTTTTTTTTTTTTGTAAATTTTGATACCCTTTAGATCATAATTGTTCTTCATTTCATAAATTACGGTTTCATATTTTTAATTTTAGAATTTCTGCATGCCATCTTACGAAATTTAAACTGATGATCTATAATCCGGAATCGCCGAAGTCCCGATGAGTCCGGATTAACGACTTTTGACTGTAGTAGCAATTTGAAAGAAATTATGTGATTTAATAAAGTGGGCTAAATATTTGTTACGTTCCCCTCTTGCATTTGCTTGCTTTCAGTTGAACTGCTATACTAAAAAATACATATCTATGCGTATAATCTTGCAAAATGTACGAGATAATTTGTCTGAAGAATTTGTGCCTTTATACAGAAATGTCTTATGATGATCTGTGATTTCGTGGTTTTTACTTTGTAATTTGCACTTCATTAAAATTTTAGAAAAGTATGACTTCTTTGAAATTATTGAACAGAAATTTACCAGTGTGTGTATGTGCATTTTAACGTTAGCATATTAAATTGTTCAGCTTTCAACTAAAGTGATTTGTTTGTGAAATGCAACACTTAAGAGATTTCAATTACAGTCAAAAATCGTTAATTCGGACACCCATAATCCGGAATGATCTATAATCCGGACCTGAAAGCTACAAACTTTCTGCGCATGCGCGTAAGACCTTTACGGCTGCGAATATGCGTGTGCGCATGCGCAAAATACGTTTACGAATGCGCGTTTAATGTATAACGGACGGTGTAAGCTAAGCTAAAATTATCTAATTCAGTTAATGTTGCAAATTGCGTTGTTCCTTAATCTTCGAATTGGATCCGGCTTATTATTTTTTGCAGACTGTTAGAGCAATTTTATAAAAGTAAGTTTAAACTTTCAATTATGTCAAATAGACTTTCTGGTATATATTTACTAATATGTGAAGGATCTACAAAGCGAAAGTATGTTTCGAAATCCATTAAACAAAAGTGGAATTGCTGCAAAAAATGGATAAAGGCATATCCTTTGTTTAGCTAACCATTCCGAAATCTGTTTATCAATTTCACGCTGCTCTGCGCCGGGGGGTGGGAACGTCGCGGTGCGCAATGAATTGATCTGTCAGCACTATCCTTATCTTCAGGGCAGATGTTTTTATTTTCTCTGGCTTATAATTCCTTACTAAATGTAGTATTTCATTTCGATGTACTCCGTCTTTGATATGATTTAAATCAAATTCCTCATCATTATAATTCGCTTCCGATAGCGAAGAAAGTGACACAGAGGTTATTGAAAACGAAAACATTTCGATTGACAAATTAGTCGGTATTCTCGACACAGGATTTGAACAGCGGAACTTTGTAACTGAACAAGAAATTATGTCTGTTTATAGAATTAAAGAGAAAGTATTATCATATAAAAAACGAAGGAACTTAAACAACTTACATGGAAAGAAATGTTTAATAAGGTAAGCAAATAAATATTAAGCTTTTTTTTTTTTTTTTTTTTTTTTTTTTTTTTTTTTGTAAATTTTGATACCCTTTACAGAGTTGCCAACTCTCCCGATTTAGGCGGGAGACTCCAGATTTTCGACCGCTCTCCCGCCAACCCGATTTACAATATATTTCTCCCGACCTTTTCTTATTCTTAATATTTCTCACGATTTTTATGGAACTGGGCTTAATACTTCGTTTTATGAACAAAAAAAAAAAAAAAAAAGTGATTTTGGACGTCTGAAAGCAACTGAATTTTCTCTAGACTATATCTAAAATGAAACCTTGCGAATCAGATGAGAATTTCTGCTTTGTGATTGACAGCATACGCATCCAGCAACGTCGTTCTCCAGTTGTCCAATGGGCATCGAGCTCCACTGCGTGTCATCTGGCATGTATTAGTCAATGAGCACAAAGCAAGCTCAAGGCCGTTGGCCGTTCTTTGGATGTTCTTTCGCTATTTCGTTCATCTTGTCCTGAGTTGTGTGAGTACACGTGCCTTTGGGAAATAGTTTTAGAAATTATCGTCTTTTGATATCTCTGCGAGAAAGGTGAAATACTCGTGCACGTTTCAAAAATCGTACACAGTTGACTTTCCTTCCATTATTTCTTCAATGAAATGTAATAAATTTGCGATGTGTACCATCTGTCGTTGCGATTTTTCGATTTCGCTTGGTGGAAGGGCGGATGTTCTCAAACATGTGCGTACACAAAAACACAAGGACAACTTGAGTTGTTTTGAAAAAACGAAAAATTAAATTTTTCTTCGGAAACAAAGGACCAAAAAGTGATTCATACAGAATGTCTGTTCTCTGCCTTTTTACTGGAGCACAACCTTCCACTGAATGCATCGGATCACGCTGCAGCTTTATATAGAAAAATGTTTCCCGATAGTGAAATCGCTAAGAAATACTCAAGTGCAAGGACCAAAACAGGTGCAATTGTTAAAGAAATGGGTTTGAAAAATAAATCTTCAGTTATTGATTGCATTAAAACAGCTCCGTTCTGCCTCTCTACGGATGGAAGCAATAATACCCGTTCAAAACTATATCCAATTGTTGTTTCTTTTTTTAATCCAGAGTCTTCAGAAATTGAGTGCAGTTTACTTTCTGACCCCACTTTAGAAGGACATTCGACAGGCTTTAATATAGCACAGCTAATTATTAAAACTTTAAAATAAAATGCAGTCCCTCTGGATATTTGCTTAGCGCTTGGTGCCGATAATGCACCAGTAATGGTAGGCTTGAAGACTGGTGTTGCAAGCATCTTAAGAAAGGCAAATTCAGATTTGCAGATTATGAGGTGCACCTGTCACCTCTTAAATTAGCAGCTGAAAAAGGGGAAGCTTTCTTACCATTAAATGTGGATGAACACATTGTTGATATTTATTATTATCTTGAAAGGAGTTCTAAAAGAAAGGAAAAATGGAAACAGTTCCAAACAGCTGCATAATACTGAAATGAGAAAAAATTTTGATTTTTTGTAATTTCTGCATCATTCAGCAATTCAACTGGCAGTTCTCAAAATATACTGCAAAATATAAGCGTAAAGCTGATACAAAATTTCTCTCAAAATAAAAAAAAATTGCTCAACACACGAAACATTTTCCGATTACTGTAAGTTTATCATGTGAAGAACGAATATTTATGGTTTTTTCTTCGGACCTTAACAAAGCTTTTTGCTCTTTTTTTTTACAATTCATTTTGCCATCATTCGATGTTCTGAACACAATTCTACAAAGCAGAATTCCATTAATTCATGTTTTGCAATCAATGATTTATGATCTGTTTAAAGACATTTTATCAAAGTTTGTAAAACCAGTCTGTGTTTTGTCTGGTAATTCTATATATGATGTGATTATGGTGAAACAGAAAATCAGAAGGAAGATGAAGATTTGGTAATAGGAGCTGCAACTACAAAAGTAGTGGAAGAACTTTCAGAAGAAGACAAAAATAAGTTTTATCTTCATGTTAGAAGTTACTTCTGTCGAGTATGTATGTGATTACACACTACATAAATTTTCAGTCAACGATGAAGTGATTTTGCATACTAAAGTTGCTGATCTTTCTGCTTTAGCAAATGCATCTTTTTTTGATATAAGGTACTTTTTGAACAGATTTCCTGTGTTACTTCGTTTAGTCATGAAAGATGATGATATTGATGTTGCTACTGATATACTGCAGTCGCAAATTTGCAGTTTACAATTAGAAAACTTGGATGAAGTTATAAAATCAACTGGGATTGACACCCAGTGGAGGTTAATTGGAAAATTGAAAGGTGCTGATGGAATTTTAAAATATAGTGAACTCTCTAGAATTATGTTGGCCATCTTGACAGTTCCCCATAGTAATGCGGAGTGTGAGAGGATTTTCAGTGTTGTTGCGAAAACGAGGACTAAATTTAGACCTAATATTAGTGATGACACATTAGAAAAACTTTTATTAGCGAAAGCAGGCCTACGTGGCAATTGCTATGAACAAAATTATGAAGTTTCTTTTTTAACGAGAGCAAAATCTGCCACTGTCCATAACATTTGTATGAAAACTGATTAAAGTTTTTTTTTTTTTTTTTTTTTTTTTTTAACGATGAAAGTAATAAAAATGTTTTTTATGTCTAAGGTATTTTTGTTTTGCTTGCATTTAAGACTTAA